TTGCTTTTTTAGCAAATCAATTGGCTTATAGAGATGTATTTAATGGCTTTAATTAGCTCTCCAGACCAGCCAGGCATCAGCCCACCAGGATACCTGGATTACTCCTGGCACACGATTAGTGCCCAGAAGTCTCCTCCTTAGGTTTGTGTTCCCAGTGGGGAACATCCAGCGCGTCGCAGGCAGGTGAACCCGCCAGGTCAGGCTGTTGAACAGGAGATTTTGCCCAACAACGTAATTCCTATAGATGAACTTTCCCTTTTTAACTGGCAAACTCAAGGCTGCTTTGCTTTTTTATTTAAAGTCAAACACGAATACCTGGACTGGTTTGTCGGCGTAGCCAACTGGTGCCCAGCCCCGCCGGGGACAGCAGGGGGTTGCTGCACCTGGGTAATCCATCTTTTAAGTCATAGAATCATAGAATGGTTAGGGCTGGAAGGGACCTTCAAAGGTCATCTAGTCCAACCCCCCTGCAAGGAACAGGGATATCTCCAACTAGATCAGGGCGCTCAGGGCCTCGTCCAACCGGGCCTTGAACGTCTCCAGGGATGGAGCATCCACCACCTCTCTGGGCAACCTGTTCCAGTGTTCTACAACTCTCATGGTAAAAAATTTTTTCCTAATATCCAACCTGAATCTACCTCCCTCTATTTTAAAACCATTACCCCTTGTCCTATCACAACTGGCCCTCCTGAACAGCCTCTCCCCATCTTTCTTGTAGGCCCCCTTGAGGTACTGGAAGACCGCTATAAGGTCACCCCGGAGCCTCCTCTTCTCCAGGCTGAACAGCCCCAACTCTTTCAGCCTGTCCTCATAGGAAAGGTGCTCCAGCGCTCTTATCATCTTCGTGGCCCTCCTCTGGACCCTCTCCAACTGGTCCATGTCCTTCTTATGTACCAGTCGGTGCATTATATCCTGTTATTTCTACATTTATTGGCCTAAATTTGAGAGTCGAGTCCTGCCATTAACCGTCGCTTGGGTTGCAGCCTGGAGCAACGCTGAGCCGCCGGTTTAGGTCACACACGTGCCCTGGGATGACTATTGCAGACACCAAACCCAACATTTCCAGCCCTTTAAGCAGGGCTGGAGGTACGAAGCCTCGCAGAAGTGGTTTGGACAATAAAATTGTGATTTTCAGATCCCCTCCTTCATGCCTCTGGCACCGCGTCCCGGTGCCGGGAGCATCGCGAGCCACAGGGCTGCAGGCTGTGGCCAGCTAAAGCGGTGCCAGGGGCTCCTGCCCAGTATCTGGTGCTGGTTTCAGTCTCCGAGGATGGACGGTGCTTGCCTGGCCGAGCGTGACAGCTCTGCCCCGTCATCCCTGGCGTTGTGCAGCAGGGCTGGGTGCTGCGGGGGTGTTTGGACTTTACGTGCTGCTCACTTAAAAATACAAACCTAACACAGAGGAGGTATTGTGAGATGGCCAGCTGGCTGTGCCTGCTTGTTCCTGGAGCCCCACCATGAACCTTCCCTTCGTCAGAGTAACCACATGGACAATATTCGCTCTGTGTAAGCAACTGTCTGGCCAGTGGGTAAAGGGGAGGCAGGAGAAAAGCCCCCATAAGAGATCTGAAAAAGAGCCACATCCTAAACTCCTGGAAAATTGTGGTAAAGTCCTTCCACAGAAATGTGCCCAGGGTACAATCAACTTTCTTTAGCCACTTGAGGTCAAATGCTGTGTGGTAAAGAAGGGAGTATATAATTTTTTGCTAGATCGACTTCTAAAATAGGCTTCTCATCCCTGGCAGTGTTCAAGGCCAGGCTGGATGAGGCTTTGGGCAACCTGGTGTAGTGGAGGGTGTCCCTGCCCATGGCAGGGGGGTTGGAACTAGATGATCTTTGAGGTCCCTTCCAACCCAAACCATTCTATGGTTCTATGTTTCAGAAGGATGACCCCGACGACTGCCCCATTGAGCTCAGCAAGGTGCAGAGCGTTAAAGTGGTGGCAAAGAAGCGCAGGGACCGCAGCTTGCCCCGGGCCTTTGAGATCTTCACCGACAGCAAGACCTATGTTTTCAAGGCCAAAGACGAGAAGAACGCTGAGGAGTGGCTTCAGTGCATCAACGTTGCTGTTGCCCAGGCTAGAGAGCGGGAGAGCCGAGAAGCCACCACCTACTTGTAGAGTGGCTGCCACCTCCGTGGCCATGCCAGCAAACCAAACATGTTTGGGACCACCTGGTGCAGAGCATCCCACTGCCATACCATGGACCTCTTTTACCTCCAAAACAGGGCCATGGGAGGCTGCCGGGAGACCACATGTTGACCCGGGCCAAGGAGAGCTTTGTGCAGCTCATCAATGACACAACCAAGTGCTGGAGTGCCACCAGCGTTCCCTGGCACGGGGACGTTTGCTGGGGGAGAAGCAGGTTCCACGTCCACGTGCAAAATCCAAGTTTTTCTTCAGTTTGTGAGCCAGGAGAGGTGGTTAGAAACCAACCTGGACCCCAACCCCTCAGCCTTTGCTTCGGAGATGCACAAGGTCTCGGTGGCTTTAGGCACTGCCAAGAGTGTTCGAGCACGTAAGGACTTTCGCTTTCCTCAATCATTTTTTGTCTGTAAAAAGATCATTTTCCTTCTTATTTAATCGCAGTGTACTTTATCCTTTTACTGTTTATATGCATCTGGGAAAAAATCAAACTCACTACTTCTTTCAGGTTTGAAATGGAGCAATTTTAAAGATTTAATAATGCTGAAAAAGAATTTTAAATATTTAACTGTGTTGATTTCCCTCTTTTTCCTGCTTTTTCTCCCCTTCGTAACTGAACATAATTAAAAAAAAAAAAATTTTTTTTCTTTTTTTAATTATTTGTCTTCTCTGTTCTGTAACTTTTTAAAATTTCTCCAAAACTGGAAAATTCTCGGTTTGTTTGATTTTCTTTGTCACTCTCAAATGATTCCAAAGTGGAGCAAGTACTGTAGAAAAGACTGAAAGCAAAAAAAAAGGAAAAGTGAGGGAAAAAAAATTAATGAGAAGTCTGTGGGTGGAGAAATAGCTCAGAAATCATTCAAGGCTGAGTACAAATAAAATTTTAGATTTTCCAGTTCGACTAAAACCTAGAAAAATGTATCTCTGGCAAAAAGTTGTTTCCAAAAATGAGGAGTTAAGGGAAGGAAAAAAAAAAATAATCAAAAATAAATTAACTGTAATGATTTTTACTGTAAGATGTATCTTCCATTCAGTAGCAGAGGGAGCCCGCAGGTTTTTTGGAAGCCCCTTGCAGAGCACGGCAATACAATCTGCTTTCTGAAATATTCTCTGGTCGACTTTCTGCAGCGTTTGCTGGATGAGTTTCGGCTTCGCGGAGGGAGGGCGGTGGAGAGGCTGGGGCGGCGGGACCTGCTGTCTCCCCAGAAGTGCTGGGAGAACCAGGGAGCCAGAGGAACCACCTGGGAAGTAAATTTGGCTCCAAGTCTCTGGAGCAAAGGCAGCGCTGGTGCTGCGGAGCCAAGGCTGCTCTCCGCCGTCTCCACCAGGTTTACGCCTCGTGCGGCAGTTCTCCGTCGGGATGCGCCTTGAACGACCGCGTGCCTCTGAATTCGCAGCCTGGAAGCGTTCCAGGCCAGGTTGGATGGGGCTTTGGGCAACCTGGTGTCATGGAGGGTGTCCCTGCCCATGGCAGGGGGGTTGGAACTGGATGATCTTTGAGGTCCCTTCCAACCCAACCCATTCTGTGATGCTATGATTTTTCCACCGTCCTACACGTTCCCAACTCTCTTGATTTCCATCCGTCTCCCTCTCCTTCCCCTGGCCTCGCCACAGGGGGGAGATGGGCGAGGAGCTGAGCCAGGGCTGGGAGAGGTGTGGGCAGAGAGAGCCGAGGGGCACAACTCAGTGGTTTGGTGGCTGCTCCCTCGCTGGGGTCTCACCGCGGTTGTTCAGTGGAGTTCATGGCCCTTCGGAGTCTGTTCATGGACATCTCGGATGTCACAGAAATAGCTTTGGAGTTGGAGAAGTTGCACGCGCTGAGTGTTGCTGGTGTTTGTCTCTCCTGCCCGCCAGAGCTCTGTGATTTGTTACGTTGATGGGTAAGATGCTGATGTTTGGTAATGAGCAAACATTAAAAAACCGCAATTCGAAGGCAGCGGTAAGAAAAGGGATATGATGGGAAATTTCCATGGCCTCTCTGGCAGACAAGGAAAGGAGATTTCAGTCATTTAATTTGCAATACCTGGACCAAAATATCCTGACTTTACCCACAGGACACGCCATCGAGTCTGGTGGGAACGCAGTTATTAATTCATAGGTGTGAATTTGTGGATTTACGGACTCAAGTTCCAGAATTACATCCTATACTAAACACTGAATTCACCCGCAGATCCACGTCACTGCAGTTTGATGATATGTCAGTTGGCCATTAAAAACGTTTTTTGCAAAGAACAAGAAGGACATGGAGCTGCTGGAGCGGGACCAGAGAAGGGCCACGAAGATGATCCAAGGGCTGGAGCACCTCTGCTATGGAGACAGGCTGAGAGAGTTGGGGCTGTTCAGCCTGGAGAAGAGAAGGCTCCAGGGTGATCTTATTGCAGCCTTCCAGTACCTAAAGGGGACCTACAGGAAAGCTGGAGAGGGGCTTTTTACAAGGGTGTGTAGTGATAGGACAAGGGGCAATGGCTTTAAACTGAAAGAGGGCAGATTTAGATTAGAGATAAGGAAGAAATTCTTCCCTCTGAGGGTGGTGAGGCACTGGCACAGGTTGCCCAGAGAAGCTGTGGCTGCCCCATCCCTGGCAGTGTTCAAGGCCAGGTTGGATGAGGCTTTGGGCAACCTGGTGTAGTGGAGGGTGTCCCTGCCCATGGCAGGGGGGTTGGAACTGGATGGTCTTTGAGGTCTCTTCCAACCCAAACCATTCTATGATTCTGTGATAATAGTCTGTATTTCTGTATCTCGATGCCAGATTTCAGTCTGCCACCTATGTATGACATCATCAATTAACGCCCCTGATTATCCGTGTGTGCGAGTGTACGAATGCATATTGGCACCTGTCTGACAGGGACCGGGGGTGCAGAGGGGGGCTGAGCACCCACTTCTCCACCAAGTGAGTTCCAGGTCTGAGTGAAAACTCATGCGTGGGGCTCTGCCTCACCTGCAGCCTCGAGGCTTTGGCGTCTCCGCTCGGCTGTCACCGGGTGCTCACATCCGTCCTTTCCATCTCAGCATGATTGAAACAACATGGACCACATAGCTCCACAGTCAGAGAGACCCGGATTCTGGGCCAGAAAAATAATTGCATAAAAGAGGAAGCTTAGCCACACTTCTCCTGTCTTAAATTAAAACTTGGAAGAAAATAAAAGAGAAATTTCAGCTGGCAACTTACTCCAGTCATCCTCCTAAAAGAAGAAACACAGAAATCATCAATCTAGTTATGATGAGAGCAGGGAGATTTTAAAACCCCATAAAAATAAAACCCTACTGTTGCAAATTTTCTTCTTGAACAAATATATAAATAGGTTTTATTGGTCCTTTTTAAAATAACATGCACGGACTTAAATAGCTGCTGCCCTCTGAGCAGGGAACACGGTGGTGGTTCCTGCTGCGCTGCGTTTTCTTGCTTTGTTTGCCCGTCCCTCGCAGGGACCACCCCAGCCCTCCGCAGTGGGATGCTCCAGCTCCCCGTGGCCGCGGCGGAGGGTCCCCGGGCACGCGGGTGTGTGCGGCAGCGCGGGTGGAAGAAGGGCTGTGGCACCAGGACCTGCCAAGCGGCCGCTCCGCTCTGCTGGGAACTGTCTGCCTTCTGTCTTGCACAAATTTCCGAACAAAAGATGTCATTGTCTCTCTGGGGGGGTGAGTTCACCTTTGCCGAAGGATCCTCTTATCCCATGTTTGGCAGAGGGAAGGAGCCTCGTTCCTATGGAGAGAGGGACCAGTCTCAACACGGCTGTATGGGACACTGAACCCACCTGGTGTGTCCGGGCTCCCTCCTGCTCCCCACGGCAGTGGTGGTGCCATATCTGCGGGGTCCGGGAGGGCAGGCAGGCTTGGGGGGGTCCTG